AAAAAAAAAAAAAAAAAAAAATCAACACGAGAATTTAAACGCTTGAAAAATGTTGTTATTCATTATAATCATGAAAGTAATACTTCTGCGTTCATCTGAGAAGAACCTTCAATGTGTACTTGAATTTTTTAAATCTGCGCCCGCGGCGGCGTGGACAGCGTGGGCGGCGGACGCAGCGCAGCGCACGCCGGAAGAATTTGAACAGCCAGTGCGAAAGGGAGTACCGACATCCAACAAGTTCTCTTCGCTATGAAGAGTAGATTCTGAGTGCACAACCTGGTTGTGAAAGTGGGAGTTGCGAATGTGAAGTTAATCTGAACGGGAAGCCCTGGAAGCGTTGACTGAACTGTCAGGCAATCTTTAGATGAACTGACGTCATGTGTTCTCATTTCGTGCACATTTTACATACGTTCAAGCACAGATAAAGAAACGCTTGCAAATAGTCTTCTCCCATGTTTAAACAATGTGTAGGAGGAAATCTATCCTGGTTATCGTATTCCCATGGGCTTGGGAATAAGGTGAGATGTTGAGCCTTCTGTTTGTTGTTAATCGCTGGCAACTGGAGAACTCCTTTCTTGACTCTACGACGGTTTTTTTTTCTTTTTGAAGAAACGGCTACGATTGAACATCACAGGCTCCTGTCAGGAAAATAGTTGAATTAAAAATGACTGGAAGGGAACTTCGAATAATCACTACATTACCACACATGCCAGAAGACACTGCAACCTTCAGAGCAAAAAAAAAACATGCTTTACACTTACGGAACTAATGCCCCTGGTAGTTGCCGTGTCCGGATCACCAATCAATATAATCCCTTAAGGTTCCGTTCAAATCGTGTGACCTATGTTGATGAAAATGACCGGTAATAGCAAGATTGCAAATGCAAGATAACACGAAAGTAGTGACGATTTTAACACTAATAAGCAGGAACATAATTTGAATAGATAGTTAAGTTTGTCTCGTAATGATTGTTAATGAATATATTGCGAAGATCGTGTCCGCAAAAATTCGCGAATTTGGCCATCGACGTTCAGTTCCCATTCTTTCCTCTCTTTCCTTTATTAACGGAAGACTCGGCAGATTTGTGTACCTTCTAGATTTCATTCATCGTTTAATCTCGACATCCTACCTTAGGTTCCTGACTAATAATATTAACCGACTAGCAAGGGCCGAGAAATAAAAAAAAAAACACTCGATCTGGGTGGTGGTTAGCATTCGCAAATTGTACTGCATGCAGTAGATATTACAATGATCCTTATAGTCTAATAGAAAAGTTTTGAATTTCATTTCGTTTTCATATTCTTTTACAGAACGTTAAACTATCTCCGCTCTCTACTTTGTTAATGATAGTTCGTTCATTATTGTGAATTTTGTATTTACTTGTTAAATATTATGCTTTATTGTCTTATTTTTGTACGGTTATTTTCTTTTTTGTTACTTGATGTGCCGCTCACGGGGAAGGCCTAGTCCATTGGGGAAATATCACCGCCATATCTCAAAGCAAAAACGTGCACCATACTTACGGGACTAATGACGTTAGTAGTTGACGCGCCTGGAATCAATAACAATACATTACTTAATATCATAGTTTATACTCACGTTATTCCGTAAAATGTTTATCATCAGTTTATTTCAACTATCCTAACCGTAAATTAAAAACAAAAAAACTCCACACACTCCCTTAAAAGGGTTTTTAAGGAAACATTTAATCGAATGTTTGGGGTGGAATTTTAATTCTATGTATTAATGAGAAAAACAATTTAACCACAAATACTATCATGAACTAAAATAGTGAAGGATGAACAAATCGCGCCTGAAACGGTGAGGCGAGTGCCACTGGCGCCATTGGTCGAGTCGCCTTGGCCGTGCGGAGCCCCAAGGGTGCTAGGCTTGCGAGCGCTGCTAGCTGCTGCGGAGCGGAACTGCTTTGTGACCCCTGCCGGCCCTTTCCCTGGCCCCGCTCTGGCCGGCAAGCGGCGGCAGTCGTTCCTCGGCGGAATGGAACGCATTTCTTTCCAGTTAGGATGCATTTTAGGTAGTAACAATGGGTCTCTCATGTTTAAGGAAGTTTCTATGTTGTTAAATAGATTTATTGAAGTCCGCTTTGAGCTATTGCTCTGTGGGAAACACGATTACGATTGAACGTTTATACCTTGACTTTTTATTTATTAATATATTATTGTGTTCGCCGACAGGAAGAGAGGCGAGTGAGAATTATTTGGGTGTTCCGGTTTGCAGACGTCCAGGGCGAGGCAACAAGGGCGATTGCAAGCCAGAGGCGGGCAAGGCGACTGTGCGCTGGGCCAGCGGGATTAGCAAAACTCGGCACGGGCAGGGCTAGCGAAATTACAGTCGTGAATTATCGCGATCAAACTACTTGGATTCTACGATGCTGACCGTATGTGAATTGTTTTCCTCAAATCTGTGACAAGAGATGTTCTACTGCTTTGAGAAGAACTTTACATGCCCTTGTAATTGCCACGTTGACAGAAACCGGAGTAGAGCATAGAATAATCTAGTGGAATAAAGAATTTCTTTCGAAGCTCACTCCAACAGTCGAGCGTAATAAATATTCATCCCAAGCCGATGTAACGTACGGGGCTGTTAGGGCTGTTGTTGTTCGTGTCGTTAATTAAGGATATTACAACTGGAATCGAATAGAAAATTAGACTTTTCGCATAAGACTGCATGACTTGTAAGGGCATTGACTTGACTGAGTGTGAAAGTATTCTATAGAACAGTCTACCTCGTGTATGGAACTAAGCGAGCAGAATTAATAAGAAATTAAATCCGGAAACGAATAAATCCAGTTGCTTTACTAAGTAGCGTGAGCTCCAACGAACACTCCAATAAAGAGTTCGAAATTGTTATACCACGTGTAAAAAGACAATGCATTTGGGTTCGGTCCACCGAAGCGACTTGCCGTGCCATGGAGCCCGCTGACAATGCGGCCTGAAAATCCGGGAGGACGTATTCTCAAAAAGCTACTTGAAATGCCCCATCCTTTGCAGATACTACACTTGTTCATCCCATTCTAGAATACGGAGCGGCATGCTGCGATCTGCACAGAAAGGGGCAAATTGAATAGATAGTTTGAGTAAGGCCTCCAACAATTTTATTTAGGAATTTATTAGGATATTATCGATGGAAGAAGGAACTGTTTGTTCAAATTGAATGGAAAAAGTGACAAAAGGAGAACGTTTGCCACTGCTAGAGCATCACGAGTTTGATTTGCGGGGAAAAGTTCTAGCACGGAGATACGGGGAGTAAGAATGTGTGTGGTCCTCTTCCCTATCCCCGCGCCTAGCGGCATGGCGGACGGACGGGACATTCCATTTTCTACATCTAACTCACGACCCTCTGATTTAGACTGTTGATTGAGCGGCGTTACATTGAGCAAGCAATTTGAAAATCGAGTTTTGACCATTTTAGTGGGGAGGAGAACGGCTTTACAGCGTAAACTGTATATTAAAGGAGACTACTGTTTAATCGTATCATTTATTCGGCCGTTACTGATATTGTCACTCGTAGATAGTGCTGCGATTTATTGAATTTCTCCTGTAAGTATTTTCCCATACATTTAGCCTTAAGCAAATCCACGCTAACGAAGGTGTACTGTAGTAGTTTCCATAGAGCAAGCTCCACATGAGCAAAAGGTAACGCAACGTTGGCGGGGCGGGACCGGGGCCGTACGGCGCTCCCGAAGGCGGCCGTTCCATGTCACTGACAGCCGCGCGCGGGCGGGGCGGCGCGGGGCGCGCTTATGCCAGCCCCGAAGAATGCGGCGAAGAAGCGAGGTATGTGGAGGGCCCAGCGGCGCCGGCCCGCAGCGCGGGACGCGACATCGCCTCAGAAGCAGCGATGCTTTGCAAAGCGGCTTAGCTACTTCCGACATTAACTCACCAAACCTACCCAAAAATAGTGCGAAGAAGCTTTTTCAGTCTGCCGTAGAATGCGGAGAGGACAGGCCTCGCGCCTACTGCACGTGCGGTGCCCACCGCTCCGCGTGCGAATTGCGATGGAGGGAGGACAAACAACGTTCGCTTCGTAGGCACAGGCACTCATCATTTGCTTGTAGTAGTAGGATTAGAGCTGGAGTGAGTTAGTATTTTGTTACCAATAAAATCTACAGTTCGTTTACTCATGTAAAGAAGTTATCTTTAACTCAGGAATATCTAGTTTTCCGAAGGTTGCTAACCTCGAGCTTTATTTTAAATTTTATTATTTATTTTGTTTGTTATATTTCGTAAACTTTTATTTATCTTGCAACTATTTATAGTTAAAATGTTAGGAAGGGATTCTGGCGCTCAAGATAACTGTTTTCAAGATTTACTGTTTTTTGACTAAATGAAATCGGCCCCAATCGGTACATTGGTTAGCTTTCTACTGCCAGTGCTCTGAGTGAACACCGTCTACTAGCAAACCCAGTTTGCGGCAAAGTGCAGCCCTTCGATCTGTCAATAGGCCTTCACATGATCCAGTGGCGGCTGCGGCAGGGAGGCGATAGGGACACTGCCCCCCCCCCTCCGGAGATCAGTATTTCTTCTCTTGCGCTGTCTAAAAGAATCTCTGTGGGTCTGTAGGGTTGTTTTCCAATCGAACGCATCTTTAGCTTTCAAACTCCCGCTTGTTCCGCAGAACGATTGTCATTGGCTGCGGACACTCGCTGTGTCCTAAACGCACTGTTGTTATGGAACGTACTGATAAAAATGGCCGACAACGAGTGCTCGAATGGCAAATGGCGTCTTGCGACGGCCGCCGCCCAGCAGCCAGACAGGGGAGGTAGCAACCTCGTTGCCCGGCGCTATCTATTGATCGATTTTCAAACTTACAGTATTCCTTTCGCTTGATTTACGTCCAGGCCAGTGCTATCTGTTGGTATTCGTAAGAATTCAGTGCAGGCAGTAATGTGCAATCGGCATGGTCGGTATCATCTTTCCGCTCCGTAGACAAACTATGTGAATGCTGTTTTCCAATCTTTGCGTCCAGTTTGTATTGTGCATTGAGATTCAGAATGGTTTGCAATTATGTAAAATGCATGAAAACAATGTGGTTATGATACAAGGCTGTGCATGAAGAGAATGGGTCCATCTCGGCCTGATATAAAAATTTTACAATCTGATAGAAATGCAATCGTTTTTTTTACGGAAATTTCAAAGGGGTAATTATAGGGGAATTTATCCACGTGTTCCCTCTTTGATTGTAAAACGTTCAAACAATATCAAGAAAAATACCCCCTACAAAAGGTTGATCGCGATTGACAGTTCTCTCTGTTCGTGAGCTAGCAAACTGAAATCTGAGCTGGCTGTGCTATATAAAAGAATCCGAGAGAGCTTTTTTCACTTTGAAAAGATTATAGACATTTTTAGGAAGTATCATGTCGGAAGAGAGATTGAATGGACTTTGTATGTTTTCATTATAAAGCGTTTTGTTTTGATACTCATTTAACTTTAAAGAATTAGTAATAGCAGAAGACTCAATTTAATTTATAGATCATGGGTTTAGCCTGTCTTCCGGGGAGAAAATTCGATTGTAAAAATTACTTATGTGACTTATGTGACCTGTGATGCTACTTATGTGAAAATTACTTGTGTGACAATCCAAATATAACAATATTTCAAATGTCTAACTTTCTTTGCTCCTGTAACTTTGTGTGCCCCCATAATGCCTAATCCCAGAGCCGCCCGGACATGATCATTAGGAAGTTGCATCATGTATTCGTCCGCTGTTCTAAAACTGATACTGCGATTAATTTCCACGTATTAGTGTACCACAACATTCATGGAATTAAAGAAGGTGAGTTTGCAAGATGTGTTTGCATCAGCTAATGACACGTTCAGAAGATCAGAATAGTCCATATGCTCCCAGAGCTGTTCGCGTTTACTGACAAGGAAAATTGAAATTCAAAAATTGAAAAAAATTCCATTTACAAACAAAAACAGGAAAGCGTAAAAAATTGACCTAAATGTATGAGTGTTTAATGAATCTGTCGCTGTCTCTAGGAGAGTTGTGACGGTCGGCTGCTCTGATCGGTAGTTCCGTGGTTTCTCCGATCGACGCCAGGCGAGCAGTCCAGCAAATGGACCACGGGCGGGCGCCATCTTTGCTACGCCTTCATCGCGCGAGGGGAACATGTACTACACTTACAGGACTAATGGCCGTAGTTGACACGCCCGGAATCACAACGAACGAACCAACCAACCAACCAGCGGCTTCGGAAGAGAAGTGAAGAAGCGTATTTGGTCTCGTTGACACTCTTTGTCGAGTTATTTCAGTTTGCAGAAACGCACGCTTGCGCAGTGTCACTTGTGGGCTTCCAGAAAGCACATTTGTGTGCGCCTGTTGGCTAACTCCGGGAGCGTTTCCCAAGAGGAAGCGTGAAAATGTAGCGTCGTTGCGGTGGCTGAGACAGTGCACATGATCTACAAGGGGAGGCCCAGTCAGTCTCATCCTTTTTGTATGAGACCAAATGTAACGTATTGTGACCTTCGGCCGTCTTACTGTACATTACCTTACATTGCCTTACCTGCCGGCTAGTTGAGATAGCAGTGGGTCACCTGTAATTGAGTGAAATAGATGGACGTTGTCGTTTAAGAGTGAAAGAAGTTATTGCAGGACGTGAAATTTAGTTTGTGCCTCAAAATAAGACAAGCTGAGCTCACTGTCTTCTCAAACAAAACTTATTCACTTATTACAACTATTAAACACACACACACACACACACACAAAAGTTTAAGGCTGCGCTTCCAGAAAATTGGTCTGCCGTTTCAACTTTATTGTAGCCAACACGCGGCTTAGCAAGGGTCCATTTTTAAAAAATAACGTCTCAAGGGCCATACAAGGGTCATTCGCCCCCCTTTAGCTGTTGCATCCTTTCACTGGGCGGCCCGATAGTCTCTGGGATATATGTCTTTGGGATATATGTCTTTGGGATATATGTCTTTGGGATATATGTCTTTGGGATAT